GGGCCCGTTAGCTCGCCCGGGGCGTCCCAGCCGGCCTCACGTGCGCCCACCACAGGCCCGAGGCGCAGCCTCCCCCAGCAGGCCTCCGCGGGGCTGCCTTCATTTTCTGGTGGGGGCGGCACGGGGTTTTTATTACTGCTGTTATTGTTGTTTCTTTTCCCCTTCCTCCTGCCTTTCAAACGGGGACGAGACAAGCCCCGCTGCGCTGGGGCCCTAGTCCCTGCCCTCCTCCCACCTCACCTACCCCACCGCCCATGGGACTGCTAAAATCCACCTCCCGTGTCCGGGGGGAATTGGGCGGGATTTCTGAGTCCGGGAGGTTTTCTGGCCTTGAAGGACTTTCTCTTTTGCCTTGCCCAGGCATATGGGGAATTCTAACAGTTCTATAGTTTTGCGGTGGGGCGGGGACAATACGCGCCTAAGGAGGTGGCTGGTATGAGAAATGACATGGAAAAGGGGATGGGTTGTGTTCAGCATCACTTGCGTAGGTTAAATATGTAGCATGTACAGCTTAGCTGAGTTAATATTGCTCTAGGACCTTAACTCTTGCAAACTTGAGGATCAGAAGGCAACGTTATAGTTGCATTAAGATAAATATTTGCTGTTTATAAGCATTTACTACGATGTAAGAGTAATGGGCGACTCATTATTACACCGCAGATATGTAGCTGCTCCCCACCAGATTCGCAGTTAATATACCTAGGTATATCTCGATTAACTGCTAGAATCTGAACTCCTGTTCTGTTGGGTTTAAGGAGATAAGCATCCCTGATGGTCCTCCCCCTTTTCCCTAGAAACATCTCTGTGCCTTAGAAGGCCTTGGGAAAAACCTTTTTTCAACCCTGTATACCACTTTGTCAGTATCGTTTATCCTGGCTAGCATATTGGTGCGTTACTGGGTTATGCCAGACAAAGTAGTAACCTACTTTTTTTTCTGGATTTAATCCATATTAGAAATGTTATATGCAGTGAATACATGGGGGTTGGAACAAGGACCATGCTTGTATTGGGATGCCTTTCTTTGAGTAACGTAAACTTCCTTTTAATTGTCATGCATTTTTCTAGTAAAAGCTCTGCAAGTCTGCAATAAAAATGGCCTCCAATAAAACTACATTGGTAAGTTCATGCACACCTAAAGTATATAAGGATTTAATCAACATATTTTTCTTCAAACTTATAACTTGGCATCTCCATTTAAAAGATACATCCACATCTCCCCTCCCCAGCATTATTCTGACCAAAATTTCAGATCCAGAAAGTAAGGCTACTAGAAAGGACATTGTCTTTGGCTTTAATAAATCTGCCATTTCTAAAGAGACTTGTTGGGAAAAAAAAAAAATTAAAGGACTCTGCACTATTTCATCTGTCCTACAGTAGAAAACACTAAGGATTTTTTTAGCCTCCTTTCAGCACACCATGTAATTCATCATATATGTAAAAAATAAAATCCAAATCATGTATTCATTTAATTTGTCCCAGTGTATTTGGGGAAAACTAATTGTCTGAGAAAAGGCAGTCTTTACAGATGAAAAATAACATTATTGGGAAATGATGTGGCGTAGTTAAGATGCCTTTTGAAATGATTTTTAACAAATAACAGTTTCTTTGAATTTCATAGGAGCAGAGATTATCAGATGTCAACCCCTCCTGGACCATTTTAATGATGCATTCATGGATCTCAAGTCCTGTAAAGCTTTGCTTGACATTAAAATACGGACTTCTAAGTGCAGTTGGTTGCTGGTTACCATTCAACTAATAATGATATATAGTTTTGTGAAAGACAGAACGGAAAAAGTATAGTGTGAGATGCATCTGAGGTTGAGGCGGGGAAGTAAGCAAAAATACACCTGTACAATTCAAAATTTGGATAGCAGAGCAACTGATTTATAACGCGCTCAAAAGGCCTGTTATTAAATTTACTTAAATGATTACTGGTTGACCCAGATCGAGATATATTAAAAACTTGTATTAACTCCTGGCTTAGAAGCGCAATGGAGTGCTTCCTTTATATTGTGTGATAACAAACTGTTTTAAAAGATTTCACCAAGTGAATGTCTGAACTTTCTGTTAGTAATTGATTGCCCACTTTTCCCTAATTGAATAAGAGAAGGAGCCTGGGGAGGGGGTGCCTCAGGAAGCAGAAAGAATCTGTGAATGCAGTATTTTTAATCTTTTGATGTTGTTGAGAATTTCGCTGCACAGGTCAGGAAAATCAGTTATGGTTCCCATGGGAACCATAACTAATTCTGCTTCGTTATGTATTTGCATGCAAAACCTAAACCTATTAAGGGATAGTGTAGCTCTGGAACTGTAATTCCGATTTTGTTACCTCTTGTGTGTTAAAACCCTTCACCACAGTGTCACATCAGTGTTTTAATCTTGCCCCTCAAAGAAAGAGTGATTATCCACTGGAGAGCATCTGCATCTGTCATACGTGACTTCTGAATGCAGAAGGGGAAACGAGCCATAGATGAGCATTCAGTGGTCAAATGCCCAAGTTACAGCTTACGACATGCAACCTTAGAGAAGGGAGCTTCAGGGGTCTAGTGGACATTTAGTACCCTTTCACTTCAGTCAGGTAGCACATTCACTTGTGGGCCGAGATTTACATTGGCTTGTGTAATCTCAGAACGTACAGGTTTTTCACAAATGTGCAGTATTTCTGCAGGCTCTGCAATCAAGTATTATTTTAATAGGTTGGAAGGGCTCAAGAGTTTGGAAAGCAGTGCTGATGCACACAAGACCTAATTAGATCTCTAATATTTAAAACAGAAAGCAACATGCTCTCGATTTTATTATTTCTCACTGCACTTCAAGAAAAAAATACAGACCTCTATGACATTCATTTTCTTCTGTGGAAGATTATATAGATACTTAACTCCTAGAAAGTAAAAAAAAATTGTTGCTTTGATACAGAAATCCAAAATGTTTATCTTTAAGTGACAAGAATTAGTGAAGCCGAAAAGAGTACCAGAAAACAATCTTCCATTGAGACTTTTAGTCCAACGGAGAACACAGATGGAGATGTTCCCCACTTGTAGCCTGCTTGCCTCATCACCAGTAATTATAATGTTATTACTATGGTACAGTGAGTCTATGTCTTTTTGGGTTTTTTTCCCTCCTCTTCGTTTTTTGTTTGTTTGTTTTCCTCATCTCTACTTGTTTCTCTTTTTCACACTTCCATTTCTTGAGAGAAGCTGCCTTCTTAGAAGAGTTGGACATCTTCATGTTTTTATTTTCCTTCAATTTGTCTTTTACGTTCTTTTTCCTGTGGAGGCAAAAAAAGCCAGTGTGCTTAAGTTGACACTTTTCAGACATGAATGCTGTGGTCAAAATACACTTGGGATATGCAGGCAGTTAAAATCTAATTGGAAATACATGCTCTGTTTTAGATAATCTCTCTTCTATGCTTCCAAATCAAAACAAATGTCACATGAGATATAATCATATACAGAAACTTGCTGTTTGAAAGAGAAACTTGAAACTTTTCCTGGTCTTCGTTATTTGCACCTTCAATTTATGGGTTGCTAACCAGAGTAAAGCTGTTTTGGGGAGGGAGGGAAAAATTAATTATGAAAAATAAGGGGCACAAAGATGGGGCTTTGGAAAGAAAGAATTGGCTTCAAATCTTCAGTTTACAAAAAGAAGATTGTTTTTCTTGTGTCTAGCAGATACTTTTTTTACCTTTCACCACATCAAGACAAAATTCTAGAAAGTCTAGAAATTTGACAGTTTCAAAATGGCTTTGCAGTATTCTCAAACTAACCTGCATTAATTCTAGAGAGGAGTAGAGAAAGGCCATCAAGCAAATAGAGGTGCTCTGTGATTTTTGCTTGTCTGTTTTCTGTTCTATAGGAAGTGCATTAGTGAGGAATTAGTTCTGTCCACTTTGATTTAGGGTGCTGCATGACTATATGTTTTAGGAGCTTAATACTGCTCCCATTAGTTTATGGCTGCCACTTTAACAATTTCCTTATAAGGTGCGGTCCAAAATGGCAAGCAAACTGCTTTTGGTCTGCTAGTGCTCCAGAAATGTGATATGACAATGTGATATGCTTGTTCCAACCTTTTTAAGATTACAAACAAGGAAATTCTGAAATGTGTCCTTCTATCACTATTTAATTGTGCCTTATTAAACTGGGAATGCCTTGAGGATGATGTGGATGTAATATTTATTTTAAGAACTTAAAGAATATTATTTGAAGTATCAAATGTAAACTTAAAACACTTATAAAGTTTTTTAAGTTAGCAAAATTTCATTTACTTGTTAAGTGCTGTACTTAACTGTAGCTGTCTTAAATTTTTGCACCTTTGTGACATCTGCTTGAATGTAAGTTACATCGGTGCGTGGCTAAGAATGACAAGGGACTGCAGTAATGGAATGCTCCTAGCATGCATCCTGTTCAATAGTTACGGGTTATTGCTGAGTATTTTGCTTATTGTAGCAATACATCATAAACTTTGCTCCCATCAGCTTCTCCTTTTTTTGGACAAGGTAGTAACCACCTTTTTTTGAGTAGCATCCCTTTTCCATTTTATGCATTTTCACTGTTCCCTTATTTTCTTTACTTCTGCCTTATGCTATTTCTTGCTCTCTGCCTTTTCACAGGCATAGAGTTAACTTTTAGAAGCTTTATAAAATTTTGAGCATGTAGCACTGAGAAATTTATAAGGGGAGTGGAGGCTCTGAGTCTATGGACAAAAATATTTCACCTTTTTAAAAACTGGTGTTGGGTATCTCATTAAGCAACTGAAAAAACCCAAAACATTAACATGTCTTGCTCAGGTTACCTGACCACATGCACTAACGTAAAAGGAGTCTGAGCTTCTGGCTTGAGTGTGAATAAGTACATGATTCTTTGCTGTTTACTGAGCAAAGTTGGATTTGGCCAGTGAAATAACTGTGTAAAGCAAAAGAATGAATAATGTCGTTCTGAATTTCTTTTGTAGCACAAAATGGGAAAGAAACAGAATGGCAAAGGTAAAAAAGTTGAAGAGGCAGAGCCTGAAGAATTTGTTGTGGAGAAAGTCCTGGACAGACGTGTTGTAAATGGAAAGGTGGAATACTACTTGAAGTGGAAAGGATTTACAGAGTAAGGCATTAGCTATTTTTTTTTTTTCTGATAGAATGCTAAATATTAACCATTTATTTGAAATAACTATACAGAGAGGGGATTGGATGATGGGGATACATTTTAAAGAACCGCAAGGGAAGGACATCCATAAATGCATACTCAAGTGGGGCGGTCAAGTGTGAAAATGAAATAGAAGATACGTAGCTTAGTTTTTGTGCTACATAAAATGTTCCAAGACTTTTACCAAGTCCTTAGTGATCTAATTAGTTCTTTTACCCTGTTCTTTGATTTAGCTTGTGTCAGTATCTATCAAGGTAAGCTAGACTGACAGTTATTATATTTATATATGTGGTGGAATGAATGTTAATTCTGAGTAAGAAATTTTGCAGGGCTTTAAACTGTAGGCAGCTCTGAAGCGAAGAATTTGAAGCAGATAGTTTGCTTATTATTCACTTTTCTGAACTGCTCTCAAATTAGATGAATTTGCATAAGGAATTCTGTGGCATGGTTGCCTTCGTTAGGCATGCCCGAAAGGTATCTTTTGAGTCTCTTTCCTAGGACTTACGGAAGCACAAGAAAACGTTACAGTGGACTTAAAAAGTTGATTGTTAAAGAAGGCACATAGTTGTGCCTCCTCCCTCCCTCCCGTGACACTTTCCGGCAGACTGCTTTACTAGCTGAAAAAAGGTGATGCACTTAGCATTTGAACATAAGTAGTTACGTATACAGTCATATTATCGTTGCATACCTCCCAAAGTGATTGCTTTGAAACATTCTGCATTCTAGCACCTGAAATTTGTGTAGTGATAAGTGCGTAAATGCAAAACACAATGTGTTCAAGGGTCTGATTTGAAGTTGTAAAAATATGTTTTAGTAACTGAAAATAATTCGTAGGCATCCTGCTTGTGCAGTAGCACTGTGGCAGTATTTGTGCATGAGGACTTCTGGTGAGGTGCTTAGTTGTTGTAGGGAACATTCATGGACTTCTTAAAATTTTAGTTAACAAAATGCACACTCACTGGAACATGAGGCATAGTTGATCTCAGTGCTCGGAGACAACTTTTGAGAGCATTCCTCATATATAGAAGCTTACACTGTAGTGAGTGTTGTGTATGTTCTGTTCTCTGTAAGTCTTAGTGCTCATATCATATGGTTTGTTTGCATGGACAGTCTTTAGAGGAACCAAGGAAGGGAGTCAGTTTAAATGGGCAGGTAGGTTTTTGGTAGAGTGGGGATTGCTTGTTTTAACTCCTATGATCCCATCCAGATCATAGGAGTTGATAGAGCTGCTTATTCTGTATCTCCAGTTTAAGAACATTGTTTTTCAACAATAGCAGAACATATTTCTTTCAGTCATCAAATGCAGTACATGAAGGTTACTAAAGATGGCAAGATAAGCATCCTTAGGTTTTAGAGACCTGCCTTACGTAATGAGAAAAAAAAATAACTTGCTTAAGGTGAGCCATGTGGCTAGTTTTACATTTCTCTTCTTTTCCTAGTTTTACATAAATGTGTGTATGTTTCAGTGCTGACAACACATGGGAACCTGAAGAAAACTTAGACTGTCCAGAGCTAATCGAAGCTTTTCTGAACTCTCAGAAAGCTGGTAAAGAAAAAACAGATGGTGCCAAAAGAAAATCTTTGTCAGACAGTGAATCTGATGATAGTAAATCAAAGAAAAAGCGTGATTCTGTAAGTATACATTCATGTACTAAGCTTTGTTTTTCCTGTGTCTCTTCCCTACCTCTCCATCCCCCCCCCCAAAATCCTGTTGTGACTTTAAGAATAAGACCAAATATGAATTTAAAACTGTAAAAATCACACAGCACCTGGAATTGTGGTTTGAAAAGGGTAGTCATTCATGGTGGTTAATGAGACTATCCAAATGGTGGGTAAAAGATGGTTGATTGATGTGATGACTAAAAGTTCTTGCATTGTCCAATGATGCTTACGGAATAATTGAAAGTAAGACTGGTTAAGAGTTATTTATGAATGATATTAAGTGGTCAGTTTGTATTAGAGCAGAAAGTTCATGAATGGAACAAAGATGAAGTTCTGTTTTGGCTTTCATATTTAGTATATGATTTTAAATAGGTGAGTGGCAAGATGGCAAAATGTGAAGACCAGGCAGTTACTTAGATTAGGACCAGATATGATGGTAGAGAGGGAGTAGAAAGGGTGACTGAAGAAAGCCTACCTTTTCTTAAGGGTCTGGGTTTCTCCTACAATTTAAATGAACGAACAACATGACGAATTTCGTGCTGATAAGTACAAAATAATGCACATACCATAATGTGCTCAATAGTTCACATTTTTGTCTGTAAACTTTCAAACTAGCAATTTGAAACGAAACTGGTTGGCAATGTCAGTGATTTACTGAAGACAGCTGTTGGATGTGTGGTTATTGTCAAAAAAGTTGGAAGGCATCAGAAAGAATAGTTGATGAAAATACAAAGAATATTTTGGTTTCTGTATAAAGTCAGTTGTGTGTCTTCATCTGGTACAGTAGAGACCACTGTCTCAAAAAGGATATTGTGAAACTAGAGGAACCAATACAGGAAATAGTCATGATATTCCTTACCACCAGTGCGATCTTGGTGAGCCAAGAAGGGTTGAGGTATTCCCCAAGGGTCCAGTTTCACTGTTGGCTTAAGCCAACCCAAGTCTGTTGCTTTGCTGAAAAGGATGTGTTTTTCCCACTTCCAGGAGTGCATTTTTGCTTTGCCTCTTTTGTTGCTTTTACTGGCCATGGTTGTTTGTTTATCTACTATAAGGATTTTTAGATCACTTGTTTCATCTATCGAGTTTTCAGAAATAAATGCTAGAAGCATTGATGTAAAATTCCTTCATTGTTACTCTACATCTAAATGACTTGGCCTGAAGATCAGTCATGAAGAAATAAAATTAATATAATCTTTAGACAATTATATGTAATTATAGGTTTTATAATTATGTAAGGCTGTATTTCTTTGTTCTGAGATAGAGATATATATATACACACACACATACACACATATGAGAATGCATGTATCTAGCTCTAATGCCAAAAGAGAATTTTATCTTAAACTAGATAACAATCTTCTAACTTACTCAATAGGTTGATAAACCAAGAGGGTTTGCAAGGGGTCTTGATCCTGAGCGGATAATTGGGGCTACGGATAGCAGTGGAGAGCTTATGTTCCTCATGAAATGGTAAGTCTTGTATCCACAGTTCTGGTCCATATTAAGGGAGGGTAGGCAGTTGCACTTAGGCTAATGAGACAACTTTATTTCAGGAGTAAAGTGATCTTCTTATTAACTTTGTATTCTTAGAAAAACAAAGCTTGTATAATCCATTAGTACTTATTCCCTCTTCTTTCCAAAACCAAAATAACCTTAGGTTCTATTGGTTCAGTGTTACAGAAGCAGAAATTTGAAAGGTAAATCCTGATAAAATATGGGAAAATTGGTATTTGTATGGAAAAGCTGGATCTCAGCTGAGGCAACAGCAGGCAGAACTCCAGCTTTACATGTTTCAATAAGCGGAAGCTGGCTGCTGGATAGCCAACCTTTTAACCAACCATAGTGCCAGCTGTTTTGCATGCAACTGAGTGGATAGAGAATTGGAAGGAACTAGTGGAGGAAGCTGAGGTTGAGATTGAAGAACAAACAATATGAAGGAGAGGTTTATTGTTATGGGCTACTAAGAGGGGAGAGTGATGGGGGGAGTTTGCATTGTTGGGAGGGAGACCAGCTTCATTAGCTACAGTGTTGATGGAAGACTTCTTGTGTCTCCTCAGTGAACAAGTAGGATAAAATTAAATTTTTTTTCCCAGTGTTGAGAATACAAGAGATTGAATTAACATTTGCTGGGGGTCTGATTTCTTATGGTGGTAGGATGAGAAGAATGATAGCTTTCCACAGCCTTTGAGAAGGGCATAATTTTCTGAATGGAGTCAAACTGAGTGGTCTCCAGAGAAATGATTTGTCATGTGATGTGCCTGGACTGCTGAAGATTAGTGCTTTGGAAGATTCCTTTTCGAATTCTCTATAAATTTTATGTGAAACTTAGACGAGTTGCAAAATACAGATCGTGACTATTTGAATTTCTAGTGATAATTGGCAAAATCAAACACAAAGGAAATGTACAAAAAGAAGCTTTTTTTTTAATTTAGTTCAGTTGCAGTTGATTAGTTTTTCATGATTGTAGGCAACAAACATAAATATGAATATGTATGCACAAAACTGACTTGTAAAGGCAGCATATGCTTTAAAATGGAATCTGAAGCATGTGAGACTGGAAAGTTTGTTTTATTACCCCAAGTCAGCATCAAGAATAGCAGTATGAAATACAGCAAGTTACTTGCATAAACAGCAAATACAATTTGGATGTAAGTGTCACCTCTTAAGACTGACGTTATTGATTTTTTAAGTCCCACTTTGAAGTTTTGATTATGCTTTAAAAGACAAAATTAGCAAAGTGTTACTTCTTTCATTACATACTGCAATAGGTAACTGTATAAATGGTTCCATTTGAATAGCATTTTCCTTTCAAACAGAAAAAAACATGGGAAGGGAAGGAAAATACAGCTGTGAAATCTTGCCGTTAGCATGGAAATGATTGGTAGCTATAGTGAGGGGTATACTGAAAACTGATTTCTAGCTGACATTCTTTTCAGAACTTACGACCTATCAAGAACTGCTAAATTTACTGAATTAATGATTATGCATTTTCTTAAATCCCACTCTCTTCTACATCAGGAAAGACTCTGATGAGGCAGATCTGGTCCTGGCCAAAGAAGCTAACGTGAAGTGTCCTCAGATTGTAATCGCTTTTTATGAAGAGCGACTAACTTGGCATTCATGCCCAGAAGATGAAGCACAATAATTGTTTGCATTGCTTTTTTATATATATGAATATTAAAACCTGAAATTTGATTTATTAGCAATGTGAGAAGCATACAAGATTCTAACAAGAATCAAATTTGATATTTTTTTGAAGTAGTATGTTTTGCATCAACAGCAAGTAAATAAAAGCTTTCTGCAACTTGTTTCATTTATCACAAGAGAGCATTTGATACTACTACTTCCTCCATATTAGGTAAAAGCTTTTATAAAACATTCATAAACTTCCATAGTTACTACAGAATCATAATGAATGTCTAAACAAACTCACAGATGTTTTGTAGTCTTCTATACTATTGATGTGCATGTATCTTCTTTACCCAAACCTAGCCCTTTAAAACTGTAGAATCATTCTTTTTAGTATTTGGGATCACTTGGTCCCAAGAAGACCAGGTGAAAACTAACTTTGTAGTAATTTGAATGTTATCAGACTGTATATTGTTTACTTTATTGTAAATACTGGTGAACAGTGGTCAATAAAATAGTTTTATATTCTTCCTTTATACTGATAGGCTGTGACTCTTTTGAAGCGGTATGATATTTCTGAACTTTTGATATGTTAAGCTCTCGACTCGTAATATATTTAACTCTAAGTTGTTTTTTTGGGGGAAGATTGATTGATTAATATTACCCCATTGCTACTCTGTAATCACAATACCAGACAAATACCAGGCTTTGATTCTTTGTATTTTTTTGGTGGACAATGCCTGAGGCATAGTTTTTTTCCATCGGAAAGGGCCTGTGAAATGAATGTGCTTTGGGTACTTGTTTAAGTCACAGATAGCAACCATACTGCCTAGGTATGGCTGCTGATCACAAGGCCAAGCGGCCTTTGCAGATGTACTAGGAAATATTTGACACATGTCGACATTATCAGCCTTTGCTTTAATTTCAGGTCTTAACGCAAGGCTATACTGTAACTAGCGGTGTTTCAGATGGAATTATTCTTCAGGCCTGAAGAATATTCACATAGCTCTTTAATGAAGATACTAAGTCATATACTTTAAACAAAAGACTTTGTTTCTGTTTCAGATTGAATTTTAGAATGAGTCCTATAATCAGCTGCTTGCAGAATGCCTTCAGAAAGGCAGAAGTAAAGGGTGGGGAACTCAGGAGGAGGAAGGTTGCCTTTTTCCATTCTTTCTTCAGTTGCTATTCCTCTTTTCACTTGCTTTCATCTACACACTGTCTTTTATTTGTGTTTTGACTGCCAGGTATAGTTTGCCTTGAGCTGTGCCTCTCCATGTGTCAATGGCCAAGCTTGTTTCAGAATTCCCCTTAATTAAGAGTTTTGACTAAAAAAAAAAAAATCCTGTAATACGCTACTGTTGGTGTCCTAGGTGAGACACCGACAGTAAGATTGCCCGGTTATGTTTTCTTAGAAGGTTAAAAAAAGATGGGTGTTCCTGGAAACCCTCATATGGTGTGCTGAGGGGCAAATGAAGGAATTTAGTCTGTGCTTGATGTTCTTTTGATACTGTTTTGCAAATCATTACTATAACTATTTTTCCTCACATAGTTTCAAAAGCCATTGACATTGTGAATCAAAATTTGTCATTGTAAAACAGTTATAGTTAAACACTGCGGTGGCTAAACTGATGCTAAATTACCTTTTTATGTGTAACTGCTTTGAGTTGTCAAGATTTTTTATTACTGAGTTTGGGCAGAATTCAGTCGCTGTCTATTTGTGGCTCTAGGAAAAATCTGGTATCCCTGGTAGTGTGGGGGTTCCCTTGCACCAAGTAATGATAATTTCAGAGCCTAACTAGCTTCTCTTGCCTGTTCCTTAGACAAATGACCCTGAGTTTGTCATATGTGTAAGCTTCTATAGAGTTCATGGCTGTCCTGGTTTCAGCTGGGATAGAGTTAATTTTCTTCCTAGTAGCTGATATAGTGCTGTGTTTTGGATTTAGGATGAGAATAATGTTGATAACACACTGGTGTTTTAGTTGTTGCTGAGCAGTGCTTAATCTAAGTCAAGGCCTTTTCAGTGTCTTATCCTGCCCTGCCAGCAAGGAGGCTGGAGCTGCACAAGAAGCTGGGAGGGGACACAGCCAGGACAGCTGACCCAAACTGGCTAAAGGGATATTCCATACCATATGACATCATGCTGAACAAAAAACGGGGGGGCTGGCAGGGGCGGGAGGGGCACGGCCGCTGCTCGGGAACTGACTGGGCATTGGTCAGTGGGTGGTGAGCAATTGCATTGTGCATCACTTGTTTTCTATATTGTTTTATCATTATTGTTATTATCTTCCCTTCCTTTTCTGTCCTATTAAATTGTCTTTATCTCAACCCACGAGTTTTACTTTTTTCTGATTATCTCCCCCATCGCAGGGGGAGTGGGCGAGCAGCTGTGTGGTGTTTAGCTGCCTGCAGGGTTAAACCATGACAATGGCTTAATTCTTTGGGACCTATAATAGGAATACTTATACACCTAGTATATAGGATTCGGAAATCCTTGCTTTTTTACCCAGTAGCTTGAGGAATACACGGGCTAAACAAGAATTCCAAAGCAGCTTGCGTTCTTCTGCCTGCTTCTTCAGTATGGAGTGCTTTTTAAAGAGTCTTAAAACTGTTATTCTACAGTTTGGGTTTTACTGTCTGAAACTTCGCAGTTTCTATACCTTGTTTGAAGTGTGGATATCAAGTTTATTGAAGTTGCTGATTTGAAGCAATACAAGTTAAACAGTTGATTTAAATTATCTGTTATTGTAAGTGGTAGACATAGAGATTTTTGTTGAAAGATTGATTCTCGTCAATTTGTAACCCTTAAAATACAGATTTGCAACTAGATACAGCTTTTACATTATATTTGATTCTTCCTTCTGACTATCTGTAAAAGTGCACTGTATTCACATTTAAACAACTTTACAGCTTGTTAGACAATTATTTAGATTTCTAATTTTTTACATTATGATGGTAGAAATGCTGACTGGTATTTGTTTCCTTTTTTTTTTTCTCCTCACTTTGTGTCAAACTGCATTTTGATAGTACTGAAATGCAACACTTGAAAGTTATGAGTTCTGTAAAATTATGCTGAATGTGCTGCATACATATGCAAAAAGTTAACAAATGTTATTAATTTAAAATTAACTGATTAAATAAATGAGATATCTTCTGTAGTTAGCGAGTTGTGCGGAGGTTTCTGGTCATTGTCCTTTCTTATACCAAAACAAAGAGGTTTCAGGCTGTCATTTCATGATCACTCTATGTTGATGCTGCAGTCCTGAAAAGAACAAAAAAAAAAAACCAAACAGTTGTACTTGCTCCAATACTACTCCTGACCCCGACTGAAGAAAATACTCTTGAGTTAAACGTAACCAGGTAGTGCTAGGTTATGCAAAATTCAAATCACAATCAGTTATGGCATCATCCTCTCACAGCCTGGTTCTTACTTCTTTGCTAGGAAAGAATAATACATTTTGCTTTTTTTAAAACTCCTGATTTGTTCATTAGCATTGAATTAATTGCAAATTAATTAAAGAGCAATTGCTGTTAAATGGTATAAAATAGTACCTGCAAAAAAAGCTATCGGCATTGCAAGTGAATTTTATCAGTTCAGCACAAATGGATTCTACATGCTTTGTGGTAATTCTAAATTTATAGTCCAGTTCTTTTTAAAACTGCTTGGCAGTTTCTTAACAATAGATTATAGTACATTTAGGACTTAACATATGTTTCCATAATTTCACATGTAACTAGAAGTACATTTTTTCTTTAACTGCAAATTATTATTTCTCTTATTTACTCGCCCAAATTAGGCTTTTGCACTCTAAAAGATTGTCCTCCTTTCCTGTTTTAAGAGCTTTCTCCAACATCCTCAGCGTTTTCCTTACCGTTGGTGTCCTTCTCCTTCTGTTTAGAATTTATTCTCAAAATGCCACCTTTTATTCAACTTCTGAATTTAGCTGCTTGTGTTAAGACACATCTGCTCCGCTGACAGAGGCCTCTAAACCTGGACTAGCAGCCAAGCCAGATGCCCCCAAATTTGTTTCTGAGGCGCCTCCACCAAAATGAAGAGTCTTACTGCGCAGACTTACTGCACCTTACCAGCTGAAGTGCAATACCATGGAAATATGGCTGTATGGTTCCTGGACCAAAACGTTGCAGGGTCAAACGGAGCCACGTTTTATCCTGTTGAATTATGAAGCTGTGTCTCCGCTAGCTCAAGGAGTTGTGGCTTTGTTTTGCAAAGTGAATATGCAGACTAACTGTTGTGGGGGTTATCTGTCTCAGATGTATACTGTTCATGGGCTGTTTCCTCCTGACAGTGTTTTGCTGTTCTCCCAGCCTTTAGTTGTGACAACACCTGAGAGGGTGTGTAGCAGCTGAGGGAAAAGTGTTTGCTGGTACCTTCATCTCAGCAGGACCTGGAAAGAGCTGCAGAAGCTTTGAGCTTCACTCCTGCTCCTTCCTGTTGGGACAATCCCAGCCGTCAGCTTGGGTAACATTAGATCCTCTTGAAGTTCAAATGGAAAACTTCCAACTCCCAAAATCCCTTTCAGGGACTCCTATCAAAGTACTCTGGGCTCTCATTTCAAATAAGTGATACATAGTTTAAGCTTAAAAAAAAAAAAAAATCAATTTTGTCAAGCAAGATTGAAGCACATGTCCCAGAGAAAGAG